CAGAGAGGGATCCTAAGGAAGACTGTGAAAGAAATGTCACCATGTATCGCATCCTATTCTTACTGGGTTTCACTGGGCTGCTCATCATAGTTAGTGTCCTCGCTGGCTTAATGGTGTGCTGCCAAATGTTTCCACTGCCATGTTTCCAGCTAGGTAATCAATAACACCTATCTAGCCCAGGCTAATTTCAGTGTCCTTACAGTGGCGTACGTGCCTGCTGTGCTCTATGCATTTCACATTTGCCCTTCCCAAGATGAATATGTCCTCCACATTCCATTTGGAAATGTGGCTCATTCAAATCAGTGTGTACACCTGCTCAAAGAATCAGGCGACCAGTTTAATGTTATGAAAGAAGTATCATATAATGCTTGGGTAATTCCACTATTTTCATTACAGGGAGACCTGTGAAATTCTTATATGAATTTACGTGATAAATACACGTGCTACAGCTTAAACTATTTATTCATACGTTGTTTTGTATTTCCAAGATGTCTTACGTAAAAACTGCAGCATGTGCCGTGCAAACCTTCCCTTCTACTAAAGCTGAGAATAAGACGCTACATGAACCGGAAGCTGCAAATAAGTAGGTAAGTTTGCAGAAAATACCTCCCATTCCCCACCCTTTCACAGGGGCGGCTCATCAGTTACCAGAGAGCAAGTGCCCCCCACACCCCTCACTGCAGTATTTTATTAATGTGCATCATTATTGTGGGAGGAGTGTGAGGAATAACACAGGACATCACTTGCATCTTGTTCTAAAATTACGAGTCTGAACCACAGACATTCTAGTCCAAGACAGATTCAAGACAGAGTGAAAATGTTTTCAATTCTGACATTAGTCTGAATCAGTGAAAAAAGAGGTCTTGAGACCAAGACTGGACTTGTGTACTACAACACTGCATGAACCATAACCTTTCTGTTGTGTTCCTGCTTTTCCTACACTGCGGCGGTAATGGATGATGTCTTGAATGGCTTGTCTGCTGACATTTTGCAGTGAATTCCCAGCCATCTGCATTCCTATGTGCTGTCGTCCCTCTGTGTGATCATACATTTGTTTCTGTTCCAGGAATCATGAATTCCTAGAAGTATCCCTGGAGCGTGATGGGGAGACCCTGCTGCAGTTTGCAGCTGTCTATGGCTTCCGGAATATCCAGACCCTGGTGCACCGCATGAGGAAAGGAAGGGTCCCGTATCAGCTGGTAGAGGTTCTCTCCTGTCCAGGACGTAATTTTTGCTGATTGCTCCGTACTGATGAAGGCAGTGCTTATTTTTCAGTGTTTAAATATGATGGGTATGTTTCATTGGGTCAAAATACTGTATATGCTAAATAAATCAATGCAAATTATTAAACACCTAGTAGTTGGGTTCTTGGCAGGTGGGCTGGCATTTACAACACTGCTATTTACAATACATGCCCCCCCCCCCCCCACCCTGCTTCCAGATCATGTTTGTTGTGCTCAATTATATATTTTAAACTAAACTCCCACTGCTCCATTGCCAGGCTGCCTGAATGGCCGTGGGCAGTGTGAGGGGGAGGGCGGACGTGCGGATAAGGCCCTGCTGCAGCAGATGGAGGAGGCCTACAGCAGCCTGCCCGTCAGGCTGCCAGAGATGAACCCCGAGATCCAGCAGCTGTACCACAACTGGCTGGAAGGCCAGGACTCCCCGCGAACCATGCAGGCTCTCCACACCCAGTACAGCCAGAGGCAGTCTCAGCAGCTGCCTCCAGACATCCAGTGCTGAGGGGCACGGCCACTGCTCAAAGGACCCGGGATCCAGTGCCGAGGTGCTGCCACCGCGGGACTGTTGATTGATCACATGCATCGCGTATGAATGAAAGAGCACAAGAATACTGCCATATTGCCAGGAAGGCCTAAGAGAAATGGAAGCCAATCTAACTGGCAGTGACCCTGATGTGACCAATGAGGTTCAGTGCGAACTAGAATCATTGACTGCACTGAATGCAGGCCAGTGGAGTGTGGATTCATTTGGTAGCATTTAACCTGTGACAAATTTAGGAATTTTGAGGAGTGAGAAATATATACATTTCATTGCACATTTTAGTATGGTTACATTTTCACAAAACACATCCTGCTGTAAAGCTATGCAGTTCACATACTACATTGCCCATAAAATCCTGTACCTTTCATGGGAAAACAATTGACACATCATTGGATAATTGGATAATTGGATACTGCAGAGAGGCAATATTTAGTCTGGTACATTTTCCCAACAGTATTCCCTATTGTCACGCATTAAAATGGATTTTGTTTGTGTGGGTTTTTAAAAATCTGTATTATGTAATTAACACCCAACAGAAACTAGGAATTAAATTTTATTGGCCAAATGGTAACATGCATCTTGTACATTTTGATTAAATGCTTTCAGAAAAGTGTTTGCTGAGTTCTTTGAGGGGGGGGGGGATCCTGATGTTTATTTACGGAACACTGGGAGGGGGTGTTAAAAATAAGAGTAATAGTAATAGGAAACAGTTTTTAAAACATAATTTGAATGTAATTTTTTAAATGTACGGCACTGGCTTCTCAGATTGGAAAGTTAGTGGTTTATTACATTAATGTACATGTAGGAAGCAGGAAGTGTTTTATCTCCCGAATACGAGTAAAACCGTGAATCAGCACTTGACGAGTGGCTAGAAATTTAATAAAACTCATAAAAGTGATGGTGACCAATCAGTAGCCCTACTATTGCACTCTTTCATTGTCATTATTCTGCTGCTTCCCTGCTGATTAACGTGAGACAGGGTTGTGGAGTAAGAAGCGGTAGCTAATTGATATCTTGATTTATTCTTGTCTTTGCTTTAAATATTACAGTAGTTCTAAATGTTTATGATCGAAAGCACCAGGTAGTGTTGATGAAATTCAGGCTTATGGCATGAAGCAAAATCAAAACAAAATAATTTAAGGTTAAACATAGAGTGATTTTTTTATCTTGTGCGCACAAGATACATAACTAAAAAAATCACTCTATGGGACTTCGGGAGCTCCGTATTCAGAATAAAAAATGAAATTGAAAATCTAGATCTACACTCACCACTAGAGGGCTTTAATGGCTGTAATTTGAAAACATGACAACAGAATATATAGTTGTTGCTCACATATACACTGTAATTCTCTTTATCTTCTATGGATGTGTACCCTGCAATACACTCACATAGCTTACAACTTGCTCCCTTCTTCTTGCCTAAGCTTACTAATCAAATTGTCATGGCTTTAAGAGAAAGGTGTTGACATAATGCAGTCAGAATGTGAGTGAAAGTGAAAGTATTTCTCCTCCCCCTTTTTATTAGTCTGGGTCAGCATTGCAGCCCATTTCTCCCTCAGAGAGACACTGGTAGAGTGCAGTCACCAAACTGTAAGTCTGTATTCCTCTGCAGTTTATTTGCTTGGGAGTTTTAGAGGACAGGAAAAACTCAGAGGCATTGATAGAGTGCTGTGTAAACTGAGATCATGGTCATGTCAGCTATTCAGATTTGTCTGATTTTGTTGTCTTTAAGACAATAGTTATTAAATTGGTGATTCTATTGTACTAGAATATTCCTGCATAAATTAGCATAAAGAAATGTGGCAAATACTGACATACTGTCAGCATCATGATGTAACTACTCTGCAATCTCCTTTACATAGAAATAATCAGCTTTACCTGAGGAACATTCATACCAAAGATCTGATTTGAGTTTTTAATGTAAGATCAACTAATACTTGCAGGAAAAAGTTTTACCATTTTGCGAGTTTATTGATTTCCATGTATTAATATATGCTAAGAAAAGAAAAGTAACTTTTTGAAATGAGTATTTTTCTACTGCTTTTCAGGAATACAGAAGCAGCACCTAAGAAGATGGTATCACATCCATGCCTTTTTGTTTTTGCTGTGTTTGGCCTCAGATCGACCATAGCCGGTGTGTATGTCTCACACTCTCCAATTTACTCCCCAAATCCAAATTTGAAAAACTATTTAAGTGTTAATTGATTATCTTTTACTTTACATTATTAGTTTCTTACCGTATGTTTATTATGTTTGATTTTTTTAGGTGAGGTGAAGTGTAACATTTCCGTTGACAGGAGAAATGCAGTTTTGGACTGCCACCTACCATGTGAAGGTCCAATTGTGATAACTTTTCTGAAGTGGACTAAGAATGAATCAACACTTGCTCTATACCATGGGTCCAGCTACACATCTAATCGCTTTGGATTCAGGCAGCCATGGAATCCCAGCTCCCAGGACATTTCTCTCCAGATAAACAACCCTACAAAGGAAGACAGCGGAGAATATATCTATACTGTAATTAGTACTTGTGAGACTCTTACGGGTTCTGTCAATTTGGAGATTCCAGGTAAATATTAATATACATTCATGTACATTTAGCAAAATAATATTAAACATTTTGTACTTTATTGAATTATACTGCTGGTCTATTATTCCTGTCAAAAGTGTCATGCAATGGGCTTTCTGGGATGGGCTACATGCTGAATGTGGGGATGGATGGATGGATGGATGGATGGATGGATGGAAGATTAAAAAAAAAAAATGTTTCCTTACTCCCACAGATATGAAAACTACTTCTCCAGCACAGAAAGAATGGGATAATGGTGAGAAACACTGATTTTTATTTTTAAACTATGTCACTGAATTATTTTTCAGTTCAAATGGCAAGTATCTTATCCATGTTAAGCAATCATTATATGGAATGTGTCACTTTTTTCAGAATCCAAAACAGTGACAAAATTAAAACATGAAGGGTTTCCCCCCCAGATACAAGAGACAGAAACACTGAGTTTTTTTAAACTATGTCATTAAATAATTTTTCAGTTAAAAATGGCAAGTATTTCTACCATGTCAGAAATCATTATATGGAATGTGTCTCTCTTTTCAGGATCTGAAACATTGACACATAATAGGACAGACCCCTTAAAACTAAAAGGGATAGGAACATCGAGGCACCATCAAGTTCTGTTTGTGGTTGTGATTCTCACAGCTGTCCTTGTGTTGGGGATATTTGTCTTATGGAAGAGGAAAAAAAATCCATTTTCATGCGCCACATCAGAAACGGTTGAACCTGAAAGCAGTTTGCCAGTGGAAACAACCCCCTAGGAAATTGCACTGAGTGCAGGGTTGAAGAAGGACTATTACAGACATAGCAGGGCACAGACGCGAATCAATGAAGCATGATTCTTGAAGTGAAAATTTTATTTTCTTGCACCTAAACATGGACTTTTTCCAGTGAATCCCACCATGTGAACTACTGATCATTTTATACCTGTACAGAGTTTTCAGCATTACTTACTATTTGCACTGGGTCTAGGCTCCAAGGTTACTGCAGTCCTGTCATGGATGATGGCTTGATGGATGGATGGATTAATGGATTGATTGATTGGTTGATTGATAATATTTTTAAATATTACACCAAAGCTATATGTCTTTCTCATACAAATAAATAAAGATGCTAATCAACTGTAAATAGCTATTGAATAAAATGAGGTTTTCACAAGGATGATTGCAATTGTTATTTTCAATCTCTGGAAGTCCTTAATTCACATATTCTGGCAATTTAAGGGCATTTGTTAGGTTAGTAACGTCTTCATAAGATTCATCAAGCTCACACATGGTCATAGTGTAACATATGCAGTTACTAACACTCTTGAGTTATAGCATTTAAAAACAGATTACAATATAATTATAAAGCATTACTCAGATTAGGAAAAAAAAAATCTCCATTTTTTTTCTTTTTATTAATTGGTTTGTTTAAATCATTTGATTAATAACGGCACATAACTTAATAACACAATGTACAATTCCTGTCAAACAGCCTGATCCACATTACATCTTACTTTACATACCTCATTTTAGCATTAACTCTGAACTCAGATCCTCTTCCTGTCAGTATGCAGAACATACAGGAATTGGATGTGGTTTGATGCAGAACAAGAAATGTTGGACAGTAACAATATACAACTGTAATACAACAATCCAGATGTGATGCAACAACAGCAAGGTGCAGGATTGTTAGAAAGTAGTCACTATACAACAGTGTGAAAAACCAATAATAATACAACATCATTCTGCAAAAACAGTTGTAGTGCTGTAGGATAGAGCTCTGCAGCGTGATTGTGGTAGGAAAGGTGTTATGTGTAGCTGAGTTAGTTCAGGAGCTGAGGAGCAGTTGTTGACCATGTTTTGCTTTGCAGTGAGGTCAGTAGGCACACATTCGTCAGTGCATGCTCAGCGTTTCCATGTAAAACACAGAGCTGAAAAGGAGCAGATGAAGCCTAAAGCAGAGATAAAAAAAAAGCAAAACCACACTTCCTGTTAAACAGCAGCAGAACTGCTTGTCTCTGTTTCCTTTTGTTACATTTAAAATCAGCAGCCCTCGTCTGCATTATCAGTGGGTGGGCAGATAATGGAGTCCCTCCATTGGATTTGCCTCTTAGGGTT